TCAATGCACTTATGTTTTTCATACATACTTATAAGTTAATTTATTGTTGACAAATTTTCACATTTCATAATTGAAAAATAAAACAATAATTAAAAAAATTAAAAAATACTAGCATTCCTGCCATGAGACATAAGAATGTTATAGTTTCGGGATTTAACATTTTTAATTAATTTATTCATTTGCATTAACTGCAAAAACTTTAACATGGTTAAGGTTATATTGTGCAAATGAAAATGTAAACAACCGAAATATAGCGTTGCCAAATCACGGACAGGTTACTAGCAGCTGATTTAAAAGAGCCAAATTAATTTTTGTATTTAACTATTTTTAACTTCCCGCTAAGAAAATCGAAGATTTTCAAAAATCGGGAAGTTATTGTTTTCACCCCGTTTTGCAAAAATCGAGTTTTCATCAGATCTCGACGTTTGAAGGTCACAGGAAGCTTCCCTGACTATCCCCGCGAGGTTGTCCCTATGTCTGTATGTATGTGTGTGTGTATGTGTGTGTGCGTAAGTATGTGAATCGCTTATAACTTTTGAACGGTAGAACCGATTTTATCGCGGTTGGTGCCATTCGAAAGGGCTTCGCCAAACTTAGATTCCCTGTTAATTTAAATCGATTCGGACCGATAGATTTTGAGAAATTTTGAAAAATCTGAAAAAAAAATAAGAAAAAAATCATTTTTGAAAGTGGTTTTTTTAGAATATCTTTTAAACGGCTCGATCAATCAACTTCAAAAACTAATCCGCCCTTAAGCTTGAAAAACTACGCCGATCGGCGCTAATCCGGTCAAAATCGGTTGATTCGTTCGAGAGATATCATGAGTAAGGCCTCGTGACGTTGTCAAAGCATTTGGCAACGCAGGTATGCTCAAAGATTATGGGGATGACGGTAGACAAGTAACAAACGAACGAGACATATACAGGGATAACTAAATATTATAGCTCAACAGGCCTTACGGCTACACCTCCCCGCATAGGCCCCGCTGGGCAACTGGTCGGATTGTCATTATATTACCGGCCAGACCAACGTAGTCGTTGAATGGAGTTGTACAGGGGAAGTTTGATACAGTGAACAATTACGAGGACAGATTGACATTAAATTAAATACAACTCCATTCACATTCTGCCAGTGATAGCGTAAAAGCTGGAGGGCAGGGTTTATCCTTGCCCGGGGAGTTGACGGTGCTTTTGTTTGGTGAGATTTGGGTTTTATTTTAAGTGCGTGCATAGCTTTTTTAAGCCCAGGAAACGGCCTGTTCGAAACGAGGCAGACGAAAGTCTCACCAAATAACTCGACCAATTTCCAAACTTGCACTCCTGCCACTTGCTCCAGAGCCAGATGCCTAGGACGTCTTCAATCATCTCATCGCTCCAATGGATCACTCCAGGACTCAATCAGCAACTCCGTTCCTGATGGCGGGCGGAATGTTGCGTAAATACCATATGTTCGCGCCAGAACATGTGGTAAGTTCGCATTCAACCTCACCAGAGATGCGGCGACTGACGCGCACTCTGCAAGTCATCTCCCGAAGTCAACAGCAGCTTGCGCGCCAACCGCCATAACAAATCCACACGCTGTACTCAACAACACGTGCATTGTGTATCTCTACAATCATTTTCTAATCAATTGTGCTCAACTCATTACATTTAGTGTTTTGCCAAGAAGTTCTACATAATTGGTAATTCAGGTATTATTTTTCTTCACATATTTCAAGAACGAATGAAAACCGAAAAAAGTGTTTTTTCGGGATTACTCCGAAATTTTCGGTTCGATCAATTAAAACCTGAAAATAACTTATGAGGATGATAAAACTGCGTCGAATGGCGCCAACCACGTGAAAATTGGTTGATCCATTCAAAAGTTATTGCGGTTTGAAAATTCCAAAAATAGTGTTCTAGTTCTATGAAACTTCTATCAGACTTTTGAGCTGGGAGAGCTCAAATGCATAGAAATATTATTTCTTTGAACTCAACGAGCTCAAAATACCACATAAATTATATTTTGAGCTTAAAAATCTCAAAAATGTCATAAGTACAATTTTAAGCGCCCAGAAATGGAATTAGCGGGAAGTTGCACGGATGGCCTTTATGGTGAACCGTTTTTCTAATTTTTTTTTGTTTCAACCAGAAAAAAAATTGCGTGATATTTGCCGAGACCCCCCCTCTCTCCAACGTAAGATTAGATGAGATTTGACTCGACCCCCTCCTCCCCTTAAACACCTCACGTAATTTATGGACGCCCCCTAATTCGTTCAAGTAAAACAAATGGTTGACAATTATTAAGAATAATTGATGAATTAAATTTTAGATAAGACATTTTTTCACAGTGTTTAATTCATTTTTTACTTACTTCATTGGTTTATTGGTTCACCCTACGAAACATATAGTTTTATGCAATCACTGTCATGGTTTTTTTTTCACGTACTATATATTAAAACCGCCATTCGGCCAAGCCCGACATGGATTAGTAGATTTATTTAACGAATATGAAATAATTAATAATAAGTGACAAAATGCGTTTATTAAAAATTAAAAAAATTTTCAAAGCCACTGAAGAAATTTAAAAGAAAGTTCTAGTCAACGAATTATAGTAGCTTAAATAAATAAATAATTGTATAAATTTGAAGATTAATTTGATAGATTTGAGCTATCTCATACGCCTGACAAATTGTAAGACGATAAAAGCTAAAAACAGATTTATTGATGAATTTTTCAAAATTTTCAAGTCACGAAATAAATTGAAAAAGTCATCAAAAATGGACCAATGATAGCTTAAATTAAAGATAATCAAGTGAACTTTGAGATAAAATCAATATATTTGAACTATCTTTGACGGTAAAAATATTATTTCGATAAAATTGATAAAACTAAAAATTTTTCAAAAATGAAAAAAATTTTCGAACATCTACAACTCCTAAATTAACCTGCCGATTTTGCTTATCTTCGAACTTGATCTTAGTATTGATCCGCAAAATGACCCCACAAAATTTCATAAAGATCGGTTGCGAACTGAGGGGGCAATCCTGCTGATATGCTACAAAAAATAGATTTCTAAAGAAGTTACCCAAAAATATAATAGTCAAAATGTTGATGTATATAAACTTGAAATAATTGTTCATATTTACATTATTGTTAAGTAATTAGAGTATTGAAAATATCAATATAATTGTTTTTCCTTCGTTTAATCTTCAATTTGAAAAAAATTATGATAAATATTGTGAATTTAATTACTTAAGATTAAAAATTTTTTTAATAATTTTCAATCCAGATATTTTGGTTTTTGGAATTAAAAAATAAGAAATCAATTTTTATATCAAAAATTTTTACCTGAAACATAATAATTTATTTTCAATTCACACATATATTATATAAAATATAAAAATGAGAATTCTCTTTATAAAGAATACTTTTAGTTAACTATTAATATAATAGAACAAACAGTCAAAAAGTACTTAAGAACAAAAGAAAAATCCTAAGGATACAATAACGATACAAAAATTACGTTTATTTCTCATAAACCAAGTCGATTATCGGGTTTATGTACGTCAAAAGTTTTTAAAATTTTATTTTTTCTCCAACTCATAATTTTAAACTTTGTAAAAATTCGAAATCATACTTTGCGAAACAGAAAGTTTTGATAGTTACTAAAAAACTTGATTACATTTCTATGTATAAGTTAAATTGCATAGATGTATTTGTATCGTGAACGATTACTTAAGGAACAAAATAATTGAAGTTAAACAAAAATTTATTATGGATTCTTAGTTTCTTGTGTATTAATACGAAATAAATTATCACTATGTCAAAAATAACTTAACCGTAAAAATGGATCAAATATTTTGTAACATATCATTATTTTTAACAAATAAAATTGAATATTTATGAGCACTTAGTTATAAAAATAATTATTACTGATTATATTCACTATTAAATAGTAATTTAGTGCTAGTCACACATTTGAAGTGTTATTACATCAGAAAATATTCAATTATATCTAGTTAAATAAAAACAAAAATTATTAAATGTCATTATCAGTATAATTCATGTGTATAACCCAAGTAACATGTGCTTGAGCAAGATTTTGGTGCCAGCGTCTTGAGCAAAACCCCTAGTTGCTAGTGTCTTTTTCTACATATGGGTCTTGCTCAAGTTTATTTAAAAAGATATGGTTCAAGATTTATATGTAACTAGCTCAAGACATCTTGTGCAAGAATATCTGACAAGTCTAAAGCAAGGTGCATTGAAAAACTTTCTTACGCATTTTTTGTACCAGAAACTCACAACAAAGACTTACCCATGACTTGCTCAAGATTTGCTCAAGATCCGTAATTCTCAGAAATCCACTGATTCTATAGTAAATATAGGAGGGGTAGAATGATGCGAACGGTCATTCAAAAACATTTCATCTTGAGCAAATCTTGAGCAACTTTTGCACAAGTATATTTAGCATGCTTCTGGTGTCAGTCTTTCTCAAGACTTGAGCTATAATCTGGCCCAAAGTTCTTGTACAAGGCTTGTGAATTGAATTTGCTACAAGTATCTGGAGCAAGACCCATAGGTAGAAATAAAAGACACTAATAACTATCGAAATTGAGACCAGATTTGCTCAAGCCTTGAAAAAGTTTGCTATATGGGAAATTAATGGCTATTGGATGAAAAATATTCAATTAATTTTTTTTTCACCATAGGTAGGTTATAAAAACCAAAAAATAGTAAAATATTGTTTCAAATAAATACTTTCACGTTATTTTGGACAAAAAAATAACAAAGTACTATCATACTTTATTTATGATAGAATAACGATTAAAAAGAAAAAATATAAAAAATTCACCTGCTTTATGATTAAAAAAGACCCGGTCCAAATCAATTAGTTGAATATTTATTCTAAACTAAACTCAATTAATTCTCTTTAAAAATAGTTTATATCTAAATAACGGATATCTGACATTAAATTTTTTCTAGAACAAAAAAATTTTTTAGTCTAGCATAATTAACTTGTTACTTATTTATTAAACTGTTCTTGTCTTTATGGTGTCTACTCCAATGTCTTTTTAAGCTGGTCGTATAAACTGTTTGAAACGGACAATTTTGGCAAGTAAACGTTTGTCCATTTTTATGAGTTTTTCTATGAAGTTCAAGTGAGTATTTATCTCCAAGTTTTTTTTGACAAATTGAGCAAGTAAATGAACCAGCTGAGTGAAACGTGCGCTTGTGAGTACTCAGGGTATTAGGCGTAGCAAGTCTTTTCTTACAAATCTCGCACTCAAATAATTTTTCAGCGGCAAAAGAACATCTGTGATTGTGATTATTGAGTTGAATCAATTCAGTAAATCCGAGTGAACAATGTGGACATGTGTGCGGAAATTCATTATTATGATGAACTTTAATGTGCTTTCTCAGATCCGCTAAACGTTTAGTTTTATGAGAACATTTTGGGCATTTGAATGGCGGATCACTAGAGTGAATTAATATATGATGATTTATAAAGTCACGTTTTCGTTTACATTTGTAATCACACTGTTCGCACTCGTGTTCTTTTTTATTTATCGCCGGCTTTGACTTTTTAAAACTCGAAGAATTTTTATCAACTGAATTTTGATTTGGTTTCTTCAAAGATTCTACATTTACAGTTGATGTGTTTACTATTTTTTCAGGTACTTGGATTCTTTCAAGCAAAACTACAGGAAGACATTCTGCCTGAGCATGAAACTTTGCATCTAAAGAAAAATCGTTTAAATTATTTTCAATTAATAAGTCGTTAATAAAAAAATACTTTAAAAACCATTTAATACTAACTTAATAAATTATACAGTCTAGGATTCTCATTACACGTAGATTCGAGCTCACTTGATTGTTGAGATAACTCTTCTTGATTTAATTCCTCAAGTACCGATACATTATCTGGCAAAATAACTGGAAAACTTGGATTGTTGAAGTTCTCAGAAATAACGTCATTGGAAATAATATTTTTATCCAGTTTGAATTCAAGTATTTTTTTTTTCCAAGTGTCATTATTTATAATTGGTTTTTTAAAATTAAATCTCTTTGAAACAGCTTTCTCAAAAGTTATACCATCAACAAGCCGATTTTTCAAAGGATTCCGATCCTTGAGATTCTTTGAAATTTTTTTTTTTTTACTTGACCTAGTCCTTACTTTCGGTACAAGAAAAGTCTCATCAACGTATTCTTGTACCCCAAAAACAGAAGAACCTGAAAATAGATCTCAATTATTGTATTACCTTAATTATTTATAAAATATCATAAACTTGCATTGTTTAAATATGATACCGAAGTTAGCTGACAATTGTCAATTTTTTTAATTTTTATAACAGATTAATTATAATAATAAAAAAGTTTTCACTAATATTTTTTTTTTTAAATTTTAACATGTAGAATTTTTTTCATAATAATTTTATTGTTATAAAATTCTAAAAAAATTTTTAATACCAATTAACTTTAGTGTCATTCTTTGAATACCTGATGAAACGTCATCGAGAGCTTCCATCCAAGCAATACTGCCACTGAACTCGGATTCAGAGTCTCCAAGATGAATTATATTGCTTGAGTTCATTGTTATCATGAATTTATCAAATTTATTACTATGTTGATTATACAAGATTACCGGAGAACGTAAGTTTATTTCATATAAAGTATAACCTTGACTGTATAGTTTAAGGAGTTAGGTACTTTTTGTTGTTGATTATATTTTTTATTGAAGACGAGGTGAGTTTTGATGAAATTATTATCATCAACTATCAATACGTTATACATAACTCTTCATATTTATGTTTACATTCTTTGAAAGGTTCATATTACTTTGTGTAGAGAAAAAATGTCGGCTCGGCAAATAAATGTACGACAGCGCCAGCTGTTTGGAATTTTTTTTTATACTTCTAAACAAATCACGAGATAATTCGTTTTCTACATTAATGTAATTAATAAAATTAAATTAATGAAATTAGTTATATTTCTTATATCATTTATATTAAAAAATTAATATAAATTATTAATAAAAAGTATAAAATTCCACAAGCAGAATTTAATAATTCATTGAGTTAAATTAAAATTAATAGAAAAGTTGAATAAATAAAAAATTAATGTTTAAATTAAAAAAAAAAAAATTATTTTATTACAAGAGTTCATTAATGCAAATAAAATAATTGTTAAATGGTTACTTTCGTATCAAAATTATTTTAATTAAAATTAAGAAAATTACTATTGTCAATGAATTTTATTCTATCTTTTAACTATTTGATTTGACTGAAGATTAAAATTAAACTAGTAATAATTAAAAATACGGTTTAAAAAATGTCCAGCAACTTTCTAAAATTATCATTCCATATTTTTTAATTATAATTTTCAATTATCAATTACTATTGTATAAAAATATTGAAAAGTTGTCAGATGTTTGCAGTTAGAATTTTTTTTTTAAATCATTACAGACATTATGAAAAAATATGTTCAACATATGTTTAAATTTAATTTTGTTAATGGTTTATAATTAGTGCAATTACTAAATGTTAATTAATTTTTTTTTTTTTAATTAAAAACTTCTATGAAAATTTAAAATCAAATAATATAAATGTCAAACCAATGATTAATAATTGCAGTAAGTAGTTTTAATAAAATTTAGTACTCAAGTGTATCAATTGCTTGTTTTAAATTGATACTAAGAATTATGACTTATGACAAATGAAATGATTTTTTAATTGATCTGCAGATAACGCTGAGAAGGAACATACACTGCATGGATACTTAGGCTGAGTAAAATGATTGTGAAGATGAATTGCCAAGTAACTTTTAGTAATGGCAGCGTATGGACAGTATTGACATTCGTAAGAGCGATCTGCACCGTGAATTTTAATATGTTGCTGTAAAGCTGATTGAAAGTATGTCGAAAAATGACAAATTTGACATTGAAACGGCTTTTTAACATTACTATGTTTACATATAAAATGTGACCTGAAGGTGCTTTTGTTAATAGCAATAAATGGACATTTGGGACACTTGAATGAGTTATTATTATTATGAGCTTCGGTGTGTGTTTTGAAACTCATTTTACTGAATGCAGCAAAGTCGCACTCCATGCATTGATAAATTTTATGATGTCTTAACGCTGAAATAAAATAATTACTAATTAGCTTACACAAATTCATTGATATTTGTTTATTTAATTTATAATTAAATAAAAAATTAGTATATTCTTACTTGAGTTAAACTCTCCATTATAATAGTCTAAATCAGATGATAAGTTGATCGTCTCAGATTCTTCAGCGAATTCAGTAGTTTCTTCTTCTTTTGGAAGTACAAGATTGAACTGACCAGTAGCAGAATTTTGTTGAAATTTCAACAAGGAATTTGAAGATGAATCGTCTGGCGGCGTTAAAACTTCTGGTAGCTAGTTGTGAAAATAAAAATCTCTATTAAAAATTTAAAAATTGGCGAAAATAAAAAAAGTAAGACAAAAAACAGTGAATAAAATTATCTAAATAATACAAAGAATGTAGGAGATTTTAAACTAAAAAGATTTTAAGCTAAATGTTTAGATTGCCAGTACTTATTCTATGCTGATGACTTACTGATATACCTTTCTTGCCATCTTTCTGAAATCAGTGATTGTGTGAATAAGCTTAACGATGAAATAATGAAAATTACAGATTGGTGCAGAACTAATCATCTAAAAATAAATCCTTCGAAGACGAAAGCAATCATTTATGGAAGTAGAGCAAAAATTAGTAGTGATGAGTGCAGGCTAGCTGACGCAATCTTTGTGGAGGGGTGTGCTATTCCTTATAGTTGCACTGTAAAATACCTTGGGGTGATTATAGATAGTACTCTCTCATGGGAGAACCAAGTAACAAATTTGTGCAATCGCGCTATGAGTATTCTAGCACAGTTAAAAATAAACAATGAAATATTTAGTGAAACTTTACGCATTAAGCTAGTATCTACTTTAATAATTCCTATCTTTGATTATTGTTGTGCGGCATATACGAATATGTCAAATAAATTATTATTAAAGATGCAGCGTAAATTGAACTCATGTGTTAGATTTATCTATAAAGTACCAAAATATGAACATGTTACTCCATATTTTAAAAAGTTAGGTTGGCTAAAGCTTGCAGCGAGAAGAGATTATTTCATTGCTTGTCTATTTTACAAAGAAATTCGACTAAATTATCGGCAGCTATTCGCTTCAAAACTAGACTTTTTGCCTGTAGCATTACGTAGAGGTGATGTCCGACAGGACTACCTACGTATGCCGCGGGCTAATTGTGTCATGTATGATAATTCATTCTTAATTCATGGCATACGCATTTGGAATGCACTACCGTCTGAGACTGTGGCTGTAGATAATTTGGTTGAATTTAAAAATGCTTGCTTCAATGGGTGCCACAACTTAGTCCTAACAGAGACTATACAAAACGTAATGTTTTTAGCAAGGTGCAATATCCCAAACGTTTGGTATCGAGATAAGCACATTTAAGAAATGTGACACTTTCTTTATTTTTGATCTCATTGAAATATATTTATTTGTATAATTATTACGAAGTTAAATTAAGTTATTTGTTTGTATTAAATGATCAAGCTGGATTTTATTACATTTAAAATTAAATCTAATTGTAAACCTTTAATTAGTTAAGTAATCTTGTAACATATGTAAACCAATGTAATTTAAATATTGATGGCTTTGAGGGAGCTTAGGCTCCAGAGCCAAATAAAATTTTTTATCTATCTATCTATCTATCTAAAACAAATTAGGAAAACGGTTGACCCTGAAGGCCATCCCGGCAACTTGCCGCTAATTCCATACCTAAACACTTAAAATTGCACTTATGACGTTTTTAAGCCAATCAACTGATTTTCACGTACTTGATGGCGATTGGCGTGGTTTTTTGAGCTCTAATAATTATTTTATTTCATTAAAAACGATCCGAAAAGAAATATCGAAGTTATGTAAAAAACTAGATTTTCGCAAAACGGGGTAAAACCAATAACTTCCCGAATTTTTAAAAATTTGTATTTTTTTTTTTTTTTAGCGGTTAGTTAAAAATAGACAATTGTTATATAATTGTCACACAACAGTGCAGTTTTAATTATACACAAACAACTAAACTGGTGATAATATTGATATTAAATAAATAAGCATTTAATTTATTCTTAAAACTCTTACCGTAGCTGGTTTTATAGGTTTTACATCATCCGTCCAATAATGTTCCTTTCCGCTCAATGATTCAATTCTTGTAATTTTTATTTGATTGGGATTTGGTAAACCGGTATCAATAAAATTACCTTCATTCTGGGTTACATTTCGATCAGTTTTCCCTAAAAATCAAATTCATTAGTTATTAGTCAATTCATTGTTTGATGAACTAAAGATTTCTGAAAATTCATACTTGGTGCTAGTACACATTCTATTTCTACAACAGATGAACTATCACTGTCATCATCATTCAATTCTATTATTTCTATAATGTTATTTGCACTCATTTTTTTAATTTGAAATAAAAAAAAATTGTAAGCAATTTGTTTAAAATATTAAAAAACCAAAATGTGGTATTGCTTGGAAATGGTTTCTGTTAACCGTCATAACCTTAATCTTTTTTCCATTGTTATTATTTTCACAATGGAAGATATATAAAAGAATAAAGAACTAAGTACTTTAGCGCTGATTTTTTAAGTTCTGGCGCAGACAAGAATGAAAATCTCAAACAGTGAAAATTGTAACAATTTTTAAATAAAATTTTAAATTAGTAGACATCTGAAAATTCTTGAAATTTTTATAATATTATAACACATTAATTATTATAAAAAAAAAGTTTTTAAAAATTAACACTTATACTTTTTTTTTCTAATTTCTATATGGAAATTTTTTGTTAAATTTTTTCTCATTATAATTAAATTGTTATAAAAATAAAAAAATTTTTAGGTGTCTGTTAAATTCAGTATCACAATTTTAAAAGCTCAAAACATTTGTGACATTGAAATCAGCAGACATTTAGTCGTTTTAAAAAAAAAAATTACATTCATAGTTTTTTAAAGCTTTTACAAGAAAAATTTTTATTTATCAAAAATTATAAAAATCATTGAATGTCTTTTAATTTCACTATAAAAATTTTCATTTTTTTTTTGGAAAATTTTTTAGATAAAATCACTACAATTTTTATTCTGCAGACATATCAATTATTTTGTTTCAACTAAAACGAATATTTATACGTCTGTTACGCTTTGAATAAAAGAAATAGAAAAAAAACATTTTTTAAAACTATATCACTTTTATTAGAATATTCTATGCAAAAAATTAAAATTAATCGTTCACCACTTACAACAGTTTCATAAATGTAATTAAAATTATATACATAAATTTATAAATTGCTAAAATTTTTTTCTTTTACATTTCATTTAAATAAATTATTCTAAAAATAAAATTATCATTGAATTATCAAGTGGAAATTATAAACAAAACGATGCTAAAAGAAGTAATTTGATTGAATCGCTCATTTAAAAAAATACATTGAAATTTATTTGTAAACTCAAAAAAAGCAAATTATTGCATGCTAGTTTATTGTCATGAAATTTATATGAGTAAATATCGTTTTTAAAAATACTAACTACAAAGAAAATTAACTGACCGATTAATTTTTTTTTAATTAAAGTTAATTTTTGATTCGATCAATAAAAAATATCAATTAAAAAAAGTTCTCAAATAATAAATTATTAAAAGTATGATACAGATTGATTTTAATCTCCAAGAAATAATTATGAATGCGCGCTCGACAAGTGTTGTTTGAATAATTTTGCTCGCCGTGCCTCAAAATCACACAAATTACATTTTCTCTTTCCGATGAGTATTTATATGAAGCTTAAGGTAAAATTTATCCAAACATACATTTTGGCAAAAAGGACATTTGACTTGTTGATTTTTTTCATTCGTATGGCTTTCTTCGTGTCTCTTCAGTTCGCTTAGAACGACATATCTTTTTTGGCAAACACCACACACATATGATTTTTCTTTGGAGTGTTTGGTGGTTTTGTGATACTTGAGACCGCTTGAAGAAATGCTTGCAAAAGGACATTGCGAACATTTAAACGGATGTTCCTTGGCGTGAGTCCTTTCATGAACCTTGATATTCTTCAAAGTTCTGCTCCTGAAGTCACAATGCGAGCACTTAAACGGCTTCTCGTTGGTATGAATAAGCATGTGAGTCTTCAAGGTTCTCAAATTTGGAGTAGTAAAATTGCAATCAGGATGCGAGCATTCATGACGTGGACGTTCTTCCGAGTGTTTAGCAAGCATATGTTGTTTTAAATTTTGTTCAAGTGAGCATGAAAATGAACAAACCGAGCACTTGTAAGGTTTTTCCTTGGTATGAGACAGTAAGTGTCGTTTTAAATTAGCTTCTCTATAGGTCACATAGTCGCATTGCTTACAAGGATAACATTTTGCGTCAGCGTGAATGTCCTTCTCATGCTGTTTGAGAGTTTCTGCAATAATTTATATCAATTATAATTAAAATTTATCAAATAATAATTCAATTACTTACTAGCTGTTGCCAAAAACTTTTTGCATATTTTGCATTTGAAAGATTGTTTTTTAGAACTTGCCGACGATTCAGGTCCACTAGATTCATCGAACGACATTTTGGTCAGTCAATCTTTAATTAAGTCAAGTTTATTAACAAATACTCCTATTTATTGTGCACAGCTTTATCGTTTAGGTTAGTGAGTTCAACATACTTATGATGATCACCATGACAAATATAAATATGAGGTAATGGAGCCAGTGCTTCCTCTATTGTAAATTTCTATAATTATATTTAAATATTCCAAAAGAATTAAGCGTGCAATTATTAGAAAAGATTTTATTAATATTCAAACTCTTAATTACTAAATATATTAATCCATATAACAAATTACTTGCGGTCAAATGTCTTATGATATAACAGTCAAGATAAAATGTAAATCGTCTCAACATTCTGGCATGTTGATATAAAGAATTTAGATCGGAAGATGGAGCATTAATGTCAAGTTGTGAAACAGCATCGATTAATAGTTCAATATCTACTTACGGTCGTTGTATTTATAAAGGTACCGTGTACACTAGTAAATCTTATACGAAATCAAAAAAAACTAACAACTCTTTTGTGCTATTGGATGATAATCGCAAAGCAGAGATTAGTGATTTTTTTATTGAAAATAAAAGAGCATACGTGAATGCCAATATCCTTCATGTAATACAAGTACAAGATCTAGACCATCTCTGGGAAATACGAAACTACGATAGTGATGTTACGAAGTTGCAAATATCCAGGATAAAAGAAAAACTTATCAATATTTCGATTAATTATTCGAAATCTGAAGAAAAAAAATATGTTTGTATACAGCCGAATGATTTTGAAATTTTATAAATAAATTATTAAAACAAAAAAATGTTAATTCTTTGTACTTTTTTTATTTATCTTTCCTGTATGAGAATTATCTCACCGGCATCAGTGAAAGTTTTATTGAAGTAAATGTTGGAATGGAGATTCAAAGTTCGACGCAAACATTCTATTCACTGTATATTGAATCAATATTAATAAAACTTTGAAAAATTATTGCTCAAAAATTATAAGAAATATTTCTTATAAAATTTTAACCAGTAACAGCTGTCGTTCAAAAATAACGACTTATTTATTTGATCACAACTCTTTCAAGTGATAATAAATATTTAATTTCGTAAAATTTACTCTTATTTGATTTCTAACAAAAAAAGAAAAAAAAAATTGGAAAATGGTTGCCCCTGCAAATCATCTCTCAAACTTTTCGCTATTTTTCAGTTCTAAATGTTTGAAAATAAATATTTGAAGTCAATTCTATTTATTTTTAAGCTCTTCGATCTTAGCGATACAAAATGTCAAAAGTTTTTTTTCTTTTCAAAAGGTTTCAACGGGATTATAGATACTTACATGCTTTTCAAATCATTTCGTGTCATAGAAAGATAATAAAAATTGAATACTTACTACAGAATTTAAAAAGATTTGGTAGATTAAAAAATTTTAAATGCTACACAGAGAAAAAAATTTTCTTGGGCCAAAATAATTATAAGGAAGATCGAACTTATTTTAGAGCAAGAAAAAAATTTCTTGGCTCCAGCAAATGATACTTCGTTCGAAAAAATTTTGACTTTGTTCAAGAAATTTTCAGTCTTCCTTTGGATTTTTTTGGCTTGGAAAAATTTACTTTTGAGTTAAAGTTTTATTTCTTTCTGTGTGGTTGGATTCTCTTAGAATTAGAAAAAGTAATTGAATTTAAAAAATATTTTGGGCTGTAAAAGTAACCAACAAAATTAGCAATTTTTATCTCTATTGAAATCATTATACAATTACCTAAAAATGATCAAATTTAGATATTATTTCAAGATTTGTAAGAATTCAACAGAATTAAAAAAAATTTCAAAAATATTTTAGATATATTTTAGAATTTAATAAGATTCTACTGAATGAAAAATTTAAATTCTAGTTTAATTCTTCGATGTCCCTAAAAAATTGTAGAATTTAAAAATTATTTTGAGATTGAAAAGTATTCTACAGAATTGAATCATTTGAATACGATTCAAATCATATTATATCCGAAAAAAGACAATCAAATCGAAATATTATTTCAGGATTAAAAAGTATTTAATAAAGACGAAAATTTTAAATACGGGTTGAATTCTTTTATATCTTGAATAGATAATGAAATGAAGACATTATTTCAGGATTGAAAAGTATTTAACAGAAACAAAAATTTAAAATACCAATTGAATTCTTTTATATTCTAAAAAGATAATAAAACGAAGACATTATTTCAGGATTAAAAAGTATTCAATAGAATCAGAAATTTTAAATGCTAGTTAAATCATTTTATATTCTAAAAAAATATTGAAATGAAAACATTACTTCAGGATTACAAAGTATTCAATAGAATCAGAAATTTTAAATGCTAGTTAAATCATTTTATATTCTAAAAAAATATTGAAATGAAAACATTACTTCAGGATTACAAAGTATTCAATAGAATCAGAAATTTTAAATGCTAGTTAAATCATTTTATATTCTAAAAAAATATTGAAATGAAAACATTACTTCAGGATTACAAAGTATTCAATAGAATCAGAAATTTTAAATGCTAGTTAAATCATTTTATATTCTAAAAAAATATTGAAATGAAAACATTACTTCAGGATTACAAAGTATTCAATAGAATCAGAAATTTTAAATGCTAGTTAAATCCTTTTATATTCTAAAAAAATATTGAAATGAAAACATTATTTCAGGATTACAAAGTATTCAATAGAATCAGAAATTTTAAATGCTAGTTAAATCCTTTTATATTCTAAAAAAATATTGAAATGAAAACATTATTTCAGGATTACAAAGTATTCAATAGAATCAGAAATTTTAAATGCTAGTTAAATCCTTTTATATTCTAAAAAAATATTGAAATGAAAACATTATTTCAGGATTACAAAGTATTTAATATGATTAATCGTGAATTTTGAAACAGGATTTGCAGTATTTAGCAGAATTTGGAAGTATTAACATTTTAATTCTTTTTAATTCTGTCAAATTCCTTTTTTTAATCAGGGTTTTACATTGTGGAAACTGTCAATATAAAACTGTTAATTTTACAGTTTTTCAATGTAATAATGACAGTAAAAAAATGCGAAATTCACTTAAAAAAAAAATGAAATTTATGTTAAAACAATAATTGAACTTGTTGTTTATGAGTAAGAATTTTACATCTCGTCAAATGTAAATAATAAACAAAAAAATATATATTCTAAAAATTAAAGTTTTAACTGAAAAAATTAGATAAAAAAATTAGGTCACATAAAATCATTTTCAAATCTGCAAACCATAGAAATTAAAAAACATTAAGATACATATAACTATAATAATGATTATTAGACATCTATATTGTTAAGAGAATAAGCAAAATTCTGTGGCCAGTGAATTTATATGATAAAATGGGTTTTTATGATTTGGTATTGTTGGAAAAGTCTTGACCTGGAGTTGGGCCTTTTCATGGTTTCATTTCATTCTCACCAATAGTCAATTTATTATGATAAGCACTTAGACTGCACTCGAAAATGCTCTATCTCTATTTCTTTGAGCTCGAAGAGCTCGAAATAACACACAAATTGTATTTTTGAGCTCGAAGAGCTCAGAAACGGCATAAGTGCAATCTCAAGCGTTTAGGTATGGAATTGGCGGGAAGTTGCAATGATGGCCTTTAGGGTCAACCGTTTTCCAGATTTTTTTTAACAATTTTCAAAATGCTGCTTTCATTTCTATTTTTAGACCAGAATTTGGCTGAAGGAGGTTTTTTTATCAAATGTTGCTTCAAAAAATTTATTGTTATTAGATTCGTGGACTGGACATTGTCCAGCTCCCGCATGGAGAAATATACATCCCATAGAGGAAAGTACCACGGGGCCTAGCTTGGCCCAAGTATGTAAAACTCTGGGCCAAGCTTGTAAGCCAGGCTTGGCCCAGTCCTGGTTGAAGTCTGGGATGATAGCGATGGATCAAGCCTGGTTACCAGGACTGGGCCAAGCCTGGTTACCAGGACTGGGCCAAGCCTGGTTACCAGGACTGGCCCATGCCTGGTTACCAGGGCTGAGCCATGGTTAATTTTCAAGTCTGACCCATGCCATTTGATCAAAAATGATAAAAAAATAATTTTTGGGGTGTTTTTTTTTTTTATTTTATTTAATCAGTAGATTGAATTTAATCCTAACTGTCGCAAATTATAGAAATAAAATGAAAATCGTATCCGTTCTAACCGAGATTCGAACCCAAGCCACGCGCTTCCCAGACCGACACCTAACCCCTACACCGTACGACCGACCCATCACTTCCTCATCCTTTGTCCTTCCCATCTTCTCCTCTGCCTCATAAGGCACGTTAAAGTATGCATTTGGTTTTTCGATTTATTTTTTAATTTTTTCCAAAGCAATATGATAATATTTAATAATAGTTCAAGAAAAGATATTAATTATGTTAAATGATACTTAATAATGTTTTGCCGCCAAGGCAAAAGAGAATTGGTCACCCTGATTCTCTTAATTGTACCAAAGGGAGTTGGTCACCCCGACTCTTTATTATATTAAAACTCTTACTATACTCGAGACTCAATAAGAGTCATTTCTATGACTGTTCTTTACGAACATGTCCAATGACGCATTGGTAATGGCTGCTGCACCTGCGCACCATGACCTAGCGGGAAGAAGCCCGGCCGGCACAAAGCACGAGGCACTTGACGCCATGTGCATATCTCAGTTGTGTTTGGGACCTGTAACCTACACAATATACCCGCTAGCCTCGCTAATAATTGCATCGCTATTCTGTGCTTTTCCGTTTGTGACTAAATGATATAATAATACATTCAAATTAATATTAGATTAATTATTTAATTTTAATTCAACTCGTGTTTTTTAACTTATCATAACATAAAAATAAATTCATCGAAATAAAATAGGCATCTTTAGTGCTTACGACGCGGTACTTTATCGTGGCGTCGCGGCCATTGTTTTAATTTACACAACGTGCAAAAAGAACTCGGGATTTCATCATCAATGAGTAATATCATTTTCATTTTCAATGTTTGCTGCAATAATAATAATTAATTAGATTCCAATTAAGTTAGTTTCAGAATATAATTTAATTCATAGGAAATCATAGAACATAGCGCTTCTCACGTGTTCATTATCAAACATTACAATTAATATAAAGTCTCGCGAGTATTATTCATTCAACGTGAATAATAATTCATCTCAATTCAATTAATTAATTAATTGAATTGAGATGAATTATTAATCACGTTGAATGAATAATACTCGCGAGACCTTATATTAATTGTAATGTTTGATAATGAACACGTGAGAAGCACTATGTTCTATGAGTTCACTATAAATTAAATTATATTCTGAAACTAACTTAATTGGAATCTAATTAATTATTATTATTGCAGCAAACATTGAAAATGAAAATGATATTACTCATTGATGATGAAATCCCGAGTTCTTTTTGCACGTTGTGTAAATTAAAACAATGGCCGCGACGCCACGACAAAGTACCGCGTCGTAAGCACTAAAGATGCCTATTTTATTTCGATGAATTTATTTTTATGTTATGATAAGTTAAAAAACACGAGTTGAATTAAAATCGAATAATTAATCTAATATTAATTTGAATGTATTATTATATCATTTAGTCACAAACGGAAAAGCACAGAATAGCGATGCAATTATTAGCGAGGCTAGCGGGTATATTGTGTAGGTGACAGGTCCCAAACACAACTGAGATATGCACATGGCGTCAAGTGCCTCGTGCTTTGGGCCGGCCGGGCTTCTTCCCGCTAGCTCATGGTGCGCAGGTGCAACAGCCATTACCAATGCGTCATTGGACATGTTCGTAAAGAACAGTCATAGAAATGACTCTTATTGAGTCTCAAGTATAGTAAGAGTTTTAATATAATAAAGAGTCGGGGTGACCAACTCCCTTTGGTACAATTAAGAGAATCAGGGTGACCAATTCTCTTGTGCCTTGGCTGCAAAACATAATTACCTATAGGTA